TTTAAAACAAAATAAAAATTAAAAAATCTGTCCATTTGCATGAAAAACGTCTTCCTACAAAGGACCTTATCACACTACCTTGAGCTGTAACTATAGGGCAAAAAGATTAGTGTGTAGTAAACGGATAAAAACCCCATTATTTAGAAGCAGCGACACTACTAGATCCAAAAAGAGCCATTTTTGCAATCTTTGCTGTATTCTGTGCATGAGATTTATCAAATTTCTGGTAATTACTGCTCTGTATTTTGTAAACCTTATTCTATTCAGATTATTTACTGCGGTAGGCGCCTGTCAGGCAACCAGATCTAAGCACACCACCAAAAAAGTGTATTCCCCAAAATAAAACTCCACAGTTATCTTAAATGCACAGCTACTGACCTTCAGAATCGCATTTTCTTTACCAATTCACTGTAATAAAAATGAACATTTTGTCATCACTTTGGGAAACTGTGCCAAACACCTTAAAACACATGTCACATGCCAACTTTACTTCATTTTTCTCCTCAGGGAATAGATACATCTGGAATCATAATCACAGATAAAAACCTTGACAAAATTGCACATGAGCCCAGCCCTTCTCCCCAACACCTACCTCTTCATAACATTTAATACAATATTAATATCGGTTACTAAAAAGGCTTCCAACCTTTACATTTCTGACATAACATGTTCAAACCCATATTTCACACTTCTTGTTCTGTTTTAAGTTCAGTGGATTTAACAGGACTCTGGAGAGAAGATCATGTGGTTGAAGATTTCCCTCCCTCTTTGACACCCGTAGAGGCAGTTTTGGAATTGTTTAAATAGCTGTGGCTATATAAACTGGAATGTGTGAGACATTGGACATCCTATTTTCCCTCACATCTATACATACATGCTTGTGTTTTCCTCCAAAATCAGTTGCTTGTACCAGTGACAAACAGTTTCAGCACAACATCTGGGCAAAACCTTCGCGGTATTTTCCCTTTGAACTGTATTATTCTCCTCTCCTGCGCTTTCCTGGTTTACCAGACAAATACAATTAGCCAGTATTATATAATAATATTATTTGGTCTTTTCTATCTGTGATTGACAGTTTTTCAAATCAAAATAAAACACATTCTTAGTCGATCATCTTCTTGAGAGCACGCTCCTGTTTTAAGCTCGGTTTGCTTCGTAGACAGCCGGAGATCTTATTCCGGCAGGGGTAGATGGTGGAATTATAGATCCAGCAGATCCCATGCTCTCTGAAAAATACTTGGCTTAATATTTAATAGCTAATTCCTGGACAGATGTTTTTCCTGCATGCCTTTATCAGACACTCATCAGCTGGCGTTGCAGAGAAATGGAATTGGAGAACTTTGCAAATCTCCATTTAGGATTGTGTTTGTAATTAGTGCCATGCTTGGAAGTACCTCGGGCACCTCACTGTATGGCTTTGTTCACGTCAGAATGGGGAGAGCAACCTCTTTTTGTTACATATTTAACAGCTTTGAAAGACATTTTTTTAAACAGCAAATGTACCAGACAGCTTTAAAGCAGAGGACATTAAATAGGGGGCCAATTATTCATTCAGCAGCTCTACGTGCATCAAAAACACGCATACCACCAAATCTTCCTGAGACAAACCACTTCCATTTCCCATGACTCAGACACCATCTCTGCAGTCACTGGATAAGGATAGCAATCGTTTCAAAACAGAAACGGATACAAAATATTTCTTGCCCTGGAATATGGAAAAAAAACTTCTCAAAAAGATGTTCATTTACAATTAAGAGACAGCAATGGCGACAAGATACGTCCTGGTTTTAAACAGAACAATGCTTCTTGTTAAGGTAACTTCATTATTCTCTTTCACTTTAAAATGACCCAAAGTGTCTAAGTCAGCCTGTAGAAGTGCAGAAAGTGATCCATGAGGGGAGCCATAATTCCCTGGGACCCTTTCAGGCCAGTCCATGGAGCAGCTGACTCTGAAGCTGCTGGTCTGTCTGCAGCGACTCGGGCAGAGCCAGAGCTGAGCTGAGCTCCACTTGCTGACAAGGAGCAAACTGCCTCACATTTTAGGAGAACAACATCATTGCCTATAAAGATGAAGAAGAGACAAAATAAATAAAACCAGTTAATGTTGTAGTTAACTTGCAAATCAAGTAAATCTGTTGGTGCAGTATTTTAGAAATAAACGATAACAGCATCACACCAAACACACATTTCTGAACATATACGCGCTCTGATTTTGATTTAATGGTATCTCAGCGTCAACTATTGCTTCCTTTGCTGGTACACACTTCCTGATGCCTACTGTGAAGGGTGCCCATATTTACAACTGAGTAAGATGATTAATTACACCTTGTCAATCACGGTGCATGAAGACATAACACCACAGCAGACAATGAAGAAGATGCCTGAAGCTACAATTACATTTTAATTCATAGTTTATTGTATGTTCCCATATATTGCAGTCTAATAACCGTAGGGGCATCGAAAACATATGAGATATCAATCACTCTGCCCCCTGGTCTTTCATGTTTATATTATTCCACAGCCTTTAAATTACCATAAGTAGTTACTTATTTTCTAAGCTTTCTTCTCTTCTTTCTTACCTTTTGCTTCCATTTATCTTTTATTCTTAGTACCGTTATCCAACAGCTATAAGTATTTGATAGAAGTTTGTAGCTCACTTAAAATCTGTAACAGACAACCTGAAACCCAGCAATTAGCAAAGACAGCTTAGACTTGTGTTCCTTTGTTGAAGGAGGCGTTGAATCTTTTGTTCTGATTTAGTCACGGTAGCTGGGTGGAAGCTGGTACCTCATTATGTGGTTGGTCTGTTTGTCTGGTAGGTAGCAGATGGTACTGGAGATGACGTTACCAAGAGAGGCAGGGTAGAGAAACTCAAGACCTGTGATTTGTTCACCTGTCACCTATAACAAAATACAGGTTAAAAGACTTTATTATTAGCTGCACCATTTTTCTAATGAAAAAACTCTTGTTTCAAATGAGCCCGCCTCTCATCCCGAAGACGATTTTGCTCCAGCAATTTCTCTGTTGCTCATTATTCAAGAATATCCTGGATTTCATTCTGAACAATGTAAATGTCATTCAAGTGTCAGTGTGTACATTAGCAGCTTTATGTTTACATTCTGTTACTCTCCTTGTGTTTTGGTAGCAAAGGTTGGATGTCTTCTTGTGTTTGTATATCCATTAGGAAGGGAATCAGAGATAGCCTGTGAACTGGAGATCACGCCATACTCTTTCCATGTGCTCTTGGTATTATTGGTTCCATCCACTGAGGCAATTCTATAACATAAAATACTGTATTTTGATGCTGTTAAATATCTAAAATCTTTTTGATAATTAGCAGTGTCAGATAGACCGTACGAATCCATGACCTTCCTTAACTGCAAAAAGTACGTAATCAATTCCGTGATGGGGAATTAATCTGGTATTAAAACATCTAAGGACAGTGCACTGCAGAGCCGTGGGTGAGGATATGTACAGCAAATTGCTTGAGTGAAGATAACCCAGCGGTGTCCCACGGTGGTACGTGGTGTCCGGTGGGCAATGTCCCACCCCGTTCCTGCAGCCAAATCTCCCAGTGCAGACGGGGCTGGGAAAGGTCTCGCAACTTTACAGAGAAAGAGAAAGATTATTTTATCAAGATAAATACCATACAGTGCCTCTAATTGTGCTGCAGAATTCTAATCTGAATTCAAACATGAACTTCCATTGTTTCCGAGGTCTGGTTCTAGGACAGTCTTTGGATAGTTCCCACAGATGCCAAATTAGCTTGCATTCTGTATTATTTCTTGAGGGGTCTTGTGGCTATTTCATATGCATTTCTACAAGAGACACTTTGTTCTCCTCTGTGACGTGCAAGTGTCTTTAACTACTCAGAGCAATCTCAACAGAAAGATGATAAAAAGCCTCGACTGTGGTAAGAAGGGAACACATAAACACAGCAAAGTTTGTCTATAAACAGAGTCATTGCGGTTTTAGCCATGCTACACCTGTAAGAGGCAAATGGCTCTGCCAGAACACACCACCTGAGTGATGTAAGAGTCACAGTCAGGATGAGGCAGCGAGTCTCATGATCTCACCGTGCATTCACCTTCACCTTCCATTGTGCTACCTTTGTAACGTCATTAGAGGTGTGATATTTGACATCTTTAATACTAATTAGTCCTTCCTCACTACCCACCTCCTGGATAAATATTTAGACATCATGAACGGTCTCCCTGCGTACTCTTTGTCTTTTCTGGAGACTTCCTGAAGCTTCTCCTCAAGTTCAGAGACCTTCTTGGCCTGGTTTTCTTACAGTCTACTTGGAAACGAGAGATAGCGTGAGGCCCAGGTCTGTGGAGGGCTCCACGAACTGGGATGACTCAAATTACGATGTTCTAACATTGAGTACTCGTCATGAGGGGGTTGTTTTGTGCATTCAGCCGGTCACGGATGTTTTGGGGCACCGTGACCTCAGAGCGGTGCCAACTCCTGACCGCTCCTCGTCCCTCGCCGCGTTCTTCCCCACGCGCTCTTTGTCACGCCACGGTGCCGCTCGTCGCCGAGGGTCACGGGGTGAGCGAGGCCAAGCCGGGCGCGGGGCCCGAGGCCGCGGAGCGCGGCAGTGCCCGGTGCGGGGCCGGTGCGGGGCCAGCGCGGGGCCAGCCCCGGCCCCGAGCACATGCGGCGGGCCCGGGCGGGCGCAGCCAATGGCGGCGGGGCAGGACATGATGTCAGCGGGGCTGTAGAAAAGGCGCGGAGCCCCGCGCGGTGCCCGCGCCGCAGACGCGCCGCTCCAACCTCCCCGCTCCAGCCCCGCCGCTCCGGCCCCGGCCGCGCTCCCGCCCGGGCCCCGCGGGCCGCGCCGCTTTAAGGAGAGAGGGGGGCCGCGAGTGCCCGTCCCATCTGGTGCCCGTCCAACTCTCCCTCCTTCCCCTTGGCTTTTTCTTTTCCCAATGAGCTCCACCGGGCTGGGGGAGGAGCGGGGGAAGGAGCAAACTTTGCCCCTGAGCTGCCGCCGCTGCCAGCCCTCTGGACTGTGAGTGCGTACGGTGGGCACCCGCCCCAGCCTCCCTGCAGCACCAGCCTGCTCTCCGCCCGCTGCAGCCTCCCTCTCCCTCGCCTTCCTCCTCTAAATTTCGCACAGTACGATGTAGGGGGCTTGTCCTTATTTCTTTTTTCAATTATTATTTATTTTTCACCGAAGATGGTTTAATTTTTTTTTTATATTCCTATTATTTATTAATCCCTCCCAACCGTAAACCTGCCCAGCCTTCTGCCAGCTGGGCCAGAGCATAAAGCCTGGGACTGCACCTGGGGCAATGAGCCCTGCACTGAAGAAGCCTCCTAGAGGGACGTGCCGGGGCCGCGCAACAGACTAGATCCAAGCCCCGAAGCTCACACCACCAGTTATCCCTTCTCCCGCAGCCCCTGCGCCCGCCTTTTCTGCGCCCCATCCCCCTGAAAGCTCGGACCAGTGCCTGCGCCGCGCCCCGGAGAGCTCTGCCGCGGGAACAACCCGGTGCCCGAGGACAGACGGGGCGGCCGTGCTAGATGCATGGGGGAGGGCTCCGGTTAATGCAAGTTCTGGGCTCCTGCAGGGACCCCGACAACTGTCAGCAGCAGCAGCAACTCGGGCCCTCCTCCTCTGCTTCCTCAGCGATGCTTTTCCACAGTCTTTCCGGCTCGGAGATGCACGGGGTCATCGACGAGATGGATCGGAGAACCAAAAGCGAAGCACCGGCCATCAGCTCGGCTATAGACAGGGGAGAGACGGAAACGGTAGGAGCCGAAGGAATGGGAGAGTCAGGCACCCCCCTAAACCGTACCAAACCCCTCACAGATGCAGCTTTTCCCCTAAAATAACAGATCGGGGGGAAACGTATGCAAACCGCTAAATCAGAAGAGAATTGAGCATAAAGGCACCCCAAAAGATTAAATGAAACCGTGGGGAAAGGCATGAAACTGTTAATTATTAATAATATGCATAGTAATAGTAACGCTTGGGTGAAATGAACGGTACTGCTCTTGCGAGGAAACAGAAGGATAGACCAGCCTTTTGGTAGCGTCCAAGAACTCCTTCCCTTCCCCCAGCCTGTCCGGCCTTCCAAAGTTTTTAGGAAGAGGCAAAGTATGGCTTTATAGCAATAACGTTTTGGCACAGCGAATTTTTTGTCTGCAGAATGGAAACACAGACAGCAAAGAATCCAGTTCTGTGTTATTTTTCAGGTAGGATGTCTGCAGTGAGAGAGTCTTTGTAGCATTTATTTAAAAAATAAACCAAAGCAAAACAAACCCGAGTGCCTTTAAGTTATGGTTTTTAAAAAATAATTTTAATATGTGGGTTTGTAAACATGGCACACAGAACTGGAAGATGTGTTTCAGGGAGACGGATGGATGCGATTTTTTATAACTTTACCACTTTTTACCTTCTGTCTGCTGATGCATAGTGCTTGTATATTAATACATTTAGATAATAAAAGGATGCATCCGTTTAACTGGCGTGAAGCTGGCAGAGTGGGAGAGATTTCTGAAGTGTCTTAACTGATTCAACAATTCTTGTATGCTTTTTGTGTGTGTGTTAAGAAATAATTCTGAAGGGAAACGATCTCGTACGTTGGTTAAATGCTGTCTCGTTAGCTGATACGGGCACATGCAAGGAAGATCTGTTCTTGGGTTTTCGAACTCCATCAGTATGTGTTCTTTCTCTTAATGCTATGTAGAAATTTGCTTAAAGGTGACAGTGAGACTTGAATCCTGAAATACCGACCGGAAAACAGCCTTTGTGCTATAAGGGTGGGACGTGATTTCTAATTTAAACGGTTTTGGTTTTCTTTGAAAAAGTTAATATTTCTCCGTACAATTAAACAGCATCGAATGATCTTTGTTGGAATAAATATTGTGACATGATAGCTTTATCTAATTATATATAATGTATATGCATACACGTGTGTACATAACAAATAGTGGGATGGAGTACTCGATCCTTGAATGCCATTTCTGGATCTCAGAATATTTTCGTGACTGGAAAAGCAAGGTAGAAAAAATCGTTATTTCATTTAAAGTGGTTTTACAAGAAACGACTTTGGTTATAAAATGATCCCTGCTCGGAGTTCGGTTAATGCCTTAAAGAAACAAGCTCCCGGTGGGCTCCCGTGACTTACACCGGTGGTGTGCCAGGGTTTTATTTGTGTGGAGTTCTGCTAGTGGGAACGGTGCGGTGCAAAGGGGAGCGCTCGCAGCGATGGGGTTTTGTGATCCCCGCAAGCAGGGGATGAAAGTAGCGGGTCTGGCACGAGCTGCAAACCCAGCCCCGGTCCCTCGCCGTTCCCCCGGTAGCTGCCTCTGCTTTTTGCTTTGCGCGAGGATTTAGGGCTCGAGAGGAGGTAAAAGCGAGCAAACAACTTCTCCCCCGCCCCGAACCAAAACAAACTGCGTGTTGGGCACAGCTGTACGGAAATGTTTCGGGTCCTCTTGCACGAGAACGGATCTGTCGCGGGCTTTTGTGCAAAGCGGGTAAGAGTAAGTCGGGACCGAAGTGGAAAGCAGCGTATGGCGAGGTCTGCCCCAAACCCTGCTCCACCGAGCCTCCTCTCCCGATCGCGGTTTTAAGGTGCCTGCTACAATAAATAAGCGTGCTCAAACGGTTCCGATATTTCTCTCTCTTTCTTTTTCGGTAGGAGTCGACAGGATATGAATGAATTTTGGGGTTTTTTTTTGAGAGTTTCGATTGGATTGAGATTTGACACTAAACTATTAAATTATATAGGGCTTACATGTAGTTTTATTGCTTCCAAGTTTATCCCAGCATAATCTAAAGTGCTCTATTGTTTTTTTCCCGCTTTCTTTCCAACGCATTTCCCATTATTTCGTTTTCCTGGTGAAATATTCTGCACCTCGGATTTAGTAATGCTCATCTCCTCCGCAGCTTTATTTACTGATCCCTTTAGTACTTTGGGTCACAGCAGATCGCGATCCGTGTTGTTTGGGACCAGCTTGCAGAGAGCTGTGTCTGCAGCACTGTGACTACTGGGGGTTTGATCGTAATTCATTCGGAATTTTATAGCTAGGAAAATACACACACAGACACGCTCCACATACACGCACTCACAGAGCATTAGCTATGCAGACACTCTCAGTATATCCATAATAATAAATTTTAAAATTAACTATCTGCGATTTGCCCAACTCTGTGATTATTGCGCCTGTTTATTGAACAGCATCTTTTCTTGTTTTGGGATGGGAAAATCCACCAGGAAAAAAAACATAAATAAAAAAGTTGTGTGTCTGGTCCGGACGCCTCCCCTAAAACCCGGGGTGGTTTTCTGTTTGTCTCACCCGCTTCCCTGCCTCCTCCCGGGAAGGTGGGATGCGGTGGGACCCTGGGGATGGGGCATGGGGCCTGTCGGAGCGACGGGCGCGGAGCCCCCACTCCGCTGGCAGCCCCTGCGAGGGAAAGCAGCGGCCGGCCGGGCAGGGGGAGGGGGAGCCCAGCAGCGCTCAAGAGTTTCTCCCTGTTGCTAACGGTCTGTAATTGTTTTCCCCCAGCAGACCATGCCTTCCATCAGCAGTGACAGGGCTGCCCTGTGCGCCGGCTGCGGGGGGAAAATCTCCGACCGTTATTACCTCCTGGCTGTGGATAAACAGTGGCACATGCGCTGCCTCAAGTGCTGTGAATGTAAACTCAACCTGGAGTCCGAGCTCACCTGCTTCAGCAAGGACGGCAGCATCTACTGCAAGGAGGACTACTACAGGTACAGCTCGCCCTCGTCTACCAACCGGGGAGGGGGCACTGCCCGCCGACCCCCCGAGCACACCCCGTCCTGAGGAGACTGTGGAGGGGACCTGTGGGCACACGTAGGGCAGGCTGTGGGCTCCTAAAACCTCCCCCTGCAGAGGGGCGCTCGTGGGGAGGATGAGTGCCGTGTTCCAGGAGGGGGGCACGGCCCAGGCACAGCTCCCCCAGCCTGGCTGCGGGAACTGGGGCCTGCTGTGCGGGGTGTGGGGCCAGCAGGGCCTGTCCTCACCCACTCACAGTGCCTCCTCCAGCCCGGGGGTGCGGGACGTTCACGGGGCGGGGGTCAGTGCCTCTTCCTGGTGGGATCTGGCGGGGCAGGAGCTGCCCTGTGAGGTGCAAATGGGACGGGGTGTCCCCACGCTCCCGTCCCACGGGGCCGCCCATCTGGGCTCTGCAAACCGGCTTTGTGCCTCTGCCCCTGGCCAGGCGGCCCCCGGACCTCGCAGCCCTCCGGGCAGACCCCACCGAGGACGGGGTGGGGGCAACGTAACTCTCACCGTCTCCTCTGGCCTTTCTGTTTTGCAGGAGGTTTTCGGTTCAGAGATGTGCGAGGTGTCACCTGGGGATTTCTGCCTCCGAGATGGTCATGAGGGCCAGGGATTTGGTATATCACTTAAATTGCTTCACTTGCACCACTTGCAACAAGATGCTGACCACTGGCGATCACTTTGGCATGAAGGACAATCTGGTGTACTGCCGCCTCCATTTCGAGACTCTCATCCAGGGGGAGTACCAGGTGCATTTCAATCACTCGGATGTAGCCGCTGGGAAGGGCCCGGCTTTGGGAGCGGGCTCTGCCAACACTTTGGGACTGCCTTATTACAACGGCGTGGGGACTGTCCAGAAGGGGAGACCCAGGAAAAGGAAAAGCCCGGGGCCTGGAGCAGATCTGGCAGCCTACAATGCAGGTAAGAGACACCCACCTTCCTCCAGAGCAGTTCAAATGGTTTGTTTCTGTTCATTTCCAAAGGGGGATTTCCGTTTATTTTAGCTTAAACCGTTAATAATAGTTTTGCTGCAGCATAATTATTGAGATCAAGTGCTGTCAAACTGCAATTACAGAAGCTAATATGTTAGCATTTTTCACTTCAGCTGGAAATAAAATGTTTTGAAGCAAGGTCATCTGGTTAAGGGGGAGGAGGGGGGAGAAGGGGGAATGTAGCCTGAAATAAAATCTGGAAACCAGAGATTTTAAGTTAGCACTTCGGAGAGCCGTGAATTTTCTTTAGTGGCTACACTTAAAGGCTGCTGACGGCTGAATTATTCTGCCCTGTCCTGAGCTCTTGCACCCCAAAGTTTTGGAAGGAGAGAGAAAGAGAGGAAGCAGCGGTTTCCCAAGGGCCCGCGGTGGGAGGTGGCCGTGGTGCAGGGCTGGGGGTGCCCGGGCAGGGGCTGCGGGCTGCAGGTGTCTGGGGCAGCACAGAGCCCGCTCACATGGGGCAAGCTGGCCTGCAGTTTTGTTCTTCAGACGTGACTCGGAGAAGAGTCGGGAGACTCGCAGCATCCCTTTTCCATCCCCTCGCTGCCCCTGAGCCGAGCCCGGCAGCGGGAGGATGGGGAGCGGAGCTGGCGGCAACCGGAGCTCTGTGTATCCAGCTGCAAACTTTCCGCTGTGTTTCCTTGTTTAACCTCCCGGCCGCCACAGCACTGTTAATTTTGCAGGCAAAGGAATTCGAGCAGTCTCCTACCCCCCCCATCCCCGCTCCCCCCTTCCCCTCGCCTTGCTCCTCCGTGTAACTGCCCACCAGCGCTGCCCTCGCCGGGGCTTCCCGCGCTGCTCCTTGGATGCAATCGGAAAAAATACTCGGACAAAACAAAATTCTGAGCTGTTGGCTTTAGGAGAGGACTCGGAGGCGGGGGGGTGGGTTTCCCCCCAGCTCGGCGTTCCCCGCGCCGGGCGCTCGGCCGTCCCGCCGGACCGCGGGCACCCAACTCGTTTCCTCCCGCCGTTCGGTGCCTCAGTGTCCTCTGCGCTTCTCCGCTCCCTCCAACCTGTTTTCTTTTTAAACTGCCGCCTTCAGACGTGTCCCGTAGGGAGCAGATTTGCCTCTAAGGCGTTCCTTTTTCCCGGAGAGGGCGTTCGGTAGAGGCCAAGCCCGCTGCCGCGGGTTTGGGGCCGCAGCTCTGCGCACCCCAACAGCCGCGGGCTGCGCCGGGCGGCGGCCGCTCCGCCCGGGGGGAGGAGGAGCGGGGGGAGGAAGGTGCGTGCGGGGCACCGGGAGGTGCAGGGGTGAGGGGGACGCGGCCCGGGATGGGGAGGCTGCCGGTGTTTTGTGTCCAAAGGGAGTAACAATAGCGACGGGATGGGCTGGTTTGCGCTGAAAATGGCAGGGAGAAAAGGCGCATCTCTAACCGGCAAACGCACCTCGGGAACGAAATTGCCAGCTATTATTGGTTTAACTAATTGCTGAATAATTTGGAAATAGTGCAAAAAGCAGTAGCAGTCCCAGTGGTGAAGGTTGATGAAAGGTGGATGTAGTGTTCTCGCGGGTAACAGTTCAGCTTTAAAACGTGCATCAAATATGCATCTTTCCCCTGTAAAAAGTCTCCTTTTCGAAGGGATTAGCTTTTAATTGTCCTTCCGCTGTCTCCCTGTGCAGGGCAGATGTTCAGATTCAAAGGACCTGTAAACCGAACCAGCGGCATCTGTCCTGGATGGGAGCAGAGCTTGAGAAAGTATTTCTGCTCCCTGACTTCCTAAATAAACCGCCTTTAACTGCATTTTTAAAAATTCGTTTACAAAGTAATTGCCCTCCGATTTTTTGGTCTTTTAATCTTTGTTTAAAGCCTGCAACTGAAACTTAAGAGATCTTCCTTGAGTAACCTTTGGCTTCTTTGCTTAAGCGATTTATCTGCTTAACTATTTACTAGACCAGTAATCGACTAATTTATGCGGTAATAAGTGCCATTGATCTTGGAAATCAGGCCAGGTTGCCCACCGATGTAAAATTTCACAAACAAGTAGATTATTGCAAAGCCTTCGATTTTGAACCTTTAAAAGAGAAACCGTTTAAAAATGCGATAGTTTCTCTTTTTGTTTTTAATGGAACTTGTCACTTCCTTTTCAGAAGTGCACTAGAAATGCACAGTGTTGTCCTCTGAGGGGCTCTGCTCCCGGTAATTTGTGTAGAATACTTTGTGTAAATAAATCTACACCCATAGGTGGTGGGAAAAGGGGGACCCGTAAACTTGGCAGAGTCGAGACTGAAATTATCTTGTAAATTGCAGTAAATATTCATCTGCAACACGAATTGCACTGACTTGCCCCTCCACACACACTTAAACAAGACTCCATTTGCAGGGGGTTGATGGGTTTAGATGTGGATAGAGCCTGACAAGTGGAAAATAGCTTAGAAGGATGCTGGAACTTCAAAAAGATTTCTTTTTCTTTCTTTCCTCCTCCTTTTTTTTTTTTTCTTTTTTTTTTTAAGTGTGTTCCTGTGATCATAATTTCTTCCTTCACTTGTTGGAATGGAGTTTGATGGGTTTTTTAGGTCAGTAAATCAATGGCTGAAAGCTTGCTGAACACAGAAGCACCTGTAAAGAATTCTGAATACTCCCTTTGTGAATTAGACCCCAAACCTCCCACAGCCTCCTGTTTTATTCATTTGTATCTAGTCCGGCTTTGAGACACTAAAATATCCTGGAAAACGACAGCTGTATTGCTCAATCTTGGGTCACGACGAGCTGATAAAATGCCCATAATCGATACAAACGGCCAAGACTCTCCTCTGCTGGCAGGAGGATGCAGGAAGATGCTCAGGGGTGCCCGAACATCCCGGCCGATGGAGCCCTCGGCGGGTGCTCACCGGCGCTGCCGGCGGCTTTGGGCCCCTCGCTGCGGAGGCGCCGACCCCGCTCCCGGCGGGGCTCGGGGAGCCCCCGGGCCGCCTGGAGCTGACCCTCCCACCGGGCTGTGTCGCCACTGCTTTGGGGGTTTTTTCCCTGACAAAAATGCGAAAAGCCTGGAAAGTTTTGAAGAGCGAATCTCTCCTCCTCGTTTCCCTTGGGACTAAAAGCTCAGAAGCAGCTTCCCTGTGACTCCAGGGGCAGAGCGAGCAGACGCCAGTCGCAGCCTAAAAAAAGGATGTCTTGCAGAGATTTCCTAGGAAAAATAAGAATTTCCCCCTTTCCCTCTTCCTCTTTGCTTCTCCCCCTTCCGTCCCTCCCCCTGCCCCGCCGTGGTCACCTTTTGGGTCCCCGGGCGCGTCTGGCCCCTCCCCGGGGGGCTGTGGCTGGGGTCGGGGCTGGGGCAGGCGCAGGGGTTGGGGTCGGGCTGGGGTCGGGCTGGGGAAGGGCGCCGGCCCCGCTCGCTGCCCGAGGGGCTGCCGGGGGCGCTCCCGCTGCCCGGGCGGGTGCGGGGCCGGGGCCGCGGGGCAGGGCCGGGGAGCGGAGCCGCTGCCCCTTCCCCCGGCGGGGCGGGCAGGAGGAGCGCGGCTCGGCCGGGGCTGCCCGGGTTAATCGCGGCGCTCAGGGACTGACCGCGCACTCGCACCGGCCATTCAGCGCCATTCAATTGGCTTAATTGAGGGGAAAAACCCTGGCGGCGGCTCCTCCCGCGGGGCCCGGGCCCGGCCGCCCCTCGCCGGCCCCTTTGTTCTCCCGCCCCGCAGCCCCGGCCCGGCCGCGCTTCCCCCGGGGGGCTCCGCGAACGGGGGGGCCCGACCCTCCGGCAGCCCCGGGGGGCAGCGGGACCGGCAGCCCCTTTGTCCGAGGCGGCCGGGGAAGGCCGGAGGAAGAGGCTTCTAATCCCAGTTCTCCTCCCTCCCGGCCTTGTGATGCTCGGCCTGGGTAATAGTTGCTCCTTTAAGACAGGCTTTATATCCCCAGAAGCACTTCTGGAAATGTCAGGGCTGAAGCAGCGCTGTCCTGTGTGTTGCTCCATGGCTTAGCACAGGCACCCTCCTCTGAGCGCTGCCAGGTGCCTCGGGTACCTTGCCTGCTCCTGGAGCCACAGCTTCCCCCCTGTGCATCCCTGTGGGGAGGAGATCAGGTGTCTGCCTTCTCCAAGTGCCTTTTCCTTCCTCCAAGGGGAACGACTGTCTCTGCTCCTGTCCCAAGTACCACTCCGAGGGCTCTGTCTCACTTCTGTCCCTTTGAGGACATGGGTAACGCAAAGTCCTCTACACACTCCGACCAACAACAAATCTGGCTGCACCCCTGCCTGGTCTGGTTAATCACAAGTTCCCTCTCCAGGCAGCAGGAGGTTAAAACACCCCCTTGACTCCAATTACAGAAGGAAAGGGGTGTATGTTCCTGAGCCACTGAATACTGAGAGCTGATGCACACACCAAATGTGTCTCTTGTTTAATCATTCTTTCAGAATCAGGATTAGTTTGCTTTCTTTTGGTGTAATCTAACATGTCAAACACAAGTTCCTGAGAACAAAAGTTCCCCCGAAGGAAATTCCTCTTTCCCAGCTTCCTCATGGGCTGCATCCTCAGCGACCTACAAACTACTGAGCACATGCTTTGAGTCCCAAGGCACACGGGGCTCTGGCCATCTGAGGATGGAGAGAACTCCCAAATTCTCCTCCTCACACAGGCTTTGTTACAAAGGGACCAGCACATCCTGCTCTGTGTTCCTGTTGCTTGGTTTGGAGAGATGTTAACCATTATTCCGCAGAGGGTGTTTTGGTCACCAATATCAGAATAAGATGTTTTCATCTCAGTCTGTGGACATCACCATCCTGTGACCAGGTGGCCCTGGGGCACCAAGGGAGGCTGGAAGTGCTTCCACTGCTGCACCAGCCAAGGGTGGGAGGGCCATGGCCTGGGTGTGGGGTCTGGGGAGAAGCACAGGGGTCTTAGAAATGTTCTAGGGTCAAAAAAGAGACTTGGCACCGACTCAGAATTAGTTTTATCACAAAATAGAAATGAAACCTTAGTTAATTTAAGGCTCCTCTATTGAGCTGGAATCCTACCAATTGTATTTCTGAAATCCCAGCAGGAGCCTGAGATACTGCAATGGAATGGAAATGTTACATACAGATAGTTCAGCAATTCCTTTGGGAGATACACAGGGACACCACAAAGGAACAGGGAAGATAGTGCCTGAAAACAGAGGGTTGCGTGAGGAGCACGTACAGTGTTAGTTTTACACCCTGGTGCCTTTTGCAGAAACTCCTGAGCTCTTCAAATCTCCTCTTACCCCCTTGGCCCGCTGTGTGTGTCTGTGCCTGCACCGCCCGTGGGCACTGCGGGCTGGGGGAGGGACACAGGCAGCACTGGACCACGTACAACAGACCTCTGGGGATGGTGCCAGGCCCCACAACCGAATCCTGGCGAGGATTGCCACCAGCCAGGACTATTTCTGTCATGTTGGATGATGCCTGCAAGTAAAACCACTTGCACAAGACAAGGAACAGCTCACGCCCTCTCACGCTTCCAAAATGTGTTCTGTAACTTCCATCAGAGACAAGGACGTTTCACTAGCCCCAAATGGTACATGCTTACTGTCATCTTAATATTACTTGTACTGAGTAAATGAGGAGGTAAAATGATGAGAAATTCCAGGGGTAAATTGCTCATTGTCCTGTTGGGGCTTGATGAAAAGCTGACACCCTCATTCCATTCAGGGAGGGTTTAGAATCACTTTTATACCCTTGGATTCTGAATGCATCTCATTCTCTATGGAACATGTTAAAATCCAAATCCTCTCAGCCCTAGGGTTTGTTTTGTTGCATATTAACAGGAACAGACCTCAGTACTGCAGATAGATATTTTGATGCCTTTCCTCCTTGTCTCTGCCTTGTTATTTCTGGGAGGGTTTGAAAACCTTTCAGATGACACAAAACGGTCTTTTCCATTACTAGTATCTAAAATTCTTTGAGTACATTTTAAAAACAAGCATGATTTGGTTTTGCATTTCCCCAACAGAATTTTCAATGGGCATTATTATGTTATTCATCCTAGCACTCTTTAAATCAGGAATTGTAGCTAGGAAGGAGACTGGACAACATAGGATGACTCCAGCTGGGCAACTGGATCTCAGTTCTTAAACCAGTAAAGATTTTGCTGCATCCCACCCAGCTCCATTACCACTCCCTTGTCTCATTTGAGGACCCTACACTTTTCAAACTCAGGTGCTCCCAGTCTTTCCGTGCCGCAGGAGAACAAGCAGAAATGCTTCTTGTTGCCAGAATTTGGCACAAGATGCCGAGGTCTGGAAAGGATTTATACAAATGTATGCACATGCACGCACACACGCACCCAGACACACATTTCTATAGGCAGGGCCATTCGCTTCAGCTGCTTTTTAAATTATAGGAGTGCAGAAACACCCAGAAAAGTTGGAGCCTTCGGCCACTTTGGGCGTATCTGTTAAACAAACGTGCTCTGGGGCTCGGAGGGGATTTTTGCAGGCCTTGCTCTGTACTCTGTGCCACATCTTTTGGGAAGGTTTGGAAAGGCTGAGGTTTGGAAAGCAGCTACTGTAGCTGCTGCAAACCTGCTGTTTAGGGAATCCATATGCCTCCTGACCCAGGAATGCGTGCATTTTATGTGTGTTTTTCAAAACTGGTTTTAATGCATGCCTTTCAGAATATGGGTATTTTTAATAGGGCTGAGTCCCACTGATGGACAGCAGGAATTCGAGAAACACTGTAAAGACACGTCCATGAGATGTACTCAGTTGTAATGAAACAGCAATAAATAATGGACGATTGAAAACAAACCTGTCCAAGTGTTTAAGAAACTCACCAACGATTCACGTTTTAAAAGATTTTTTTCTCATGTTTTGCATGTCGTGTAGAACAGAGATAGTAGTGATTTTTTGTTACTTCTAACATAAAATTTGTAGGAAATAAGGAAGGAGTTGTAGATTTTGGAACAGGAAAAGCTAATTAATGCAGTTTGTCAGAGCTAATTTTCAGTTATATCCCTGATTTTTTTATTGGATTTAAGCTCAGTCCTTAATGTTGTTTTAAGAGGTTTTCTATGGTTTACTGTGTGCACAAATAAATGAGAAACTACTTTTGGTCTATGAGATTATTTTGCTTGGCGTTCAACATTTAACACTCCTTGACAATTTTACGGTGTTCCTTGCTCGCAGACCTTCTTCACAAGCTCGATGGTTGATTTCTGCAAGTGTGCCCGTCACTGTCATTCCCTGATTCTGAAAGGTGTGACAGAAATGATCGCTCAAACTCGTATTTGCAACAACTTTTTTTTTTTTTTTTTTAAGTGGAAATATAAACACATAAATAATTAAAAAGATATTTTTCATTTGGCATGCCAGGGAATATGTTGTATTAACAGCTTTATTTCTTTAGCTAGTCAGATTATAGTCATAACTTGCTGTCTGGTAGCCACAAACTTTATTTCTTTTATAGTGTTTCCTTTAATAGTCTCTCTTGTACTCTACAGGGTTTAGTTTGATGGAGGAAATAATTATGATTTTAACCAGTCTGTTCCATCGAGATTTGAGTGGACTGTATTGCACAGCTCCCTTTGTGTGTTACAGTGCAATTTATAGTGATCCCAAGTCCATGAAACCCCTTTACGGAGTGGAGGACAGCTCCTGTCTCCCACAGAAAGGGAGGGGAGGGAAAGGGGAACACACCTGCCACTTTAAAAGCCCCAGAGGGACAGGGCAGGGTCCTGTCAGGCTGGTTACTGTGAGGATGAGGAATGGGCTGCAGAGGTGGCCACAGGCCCGGGCAGTGCCTGTGCCCTGGGCAGGGCTGAGGCACCTCCAGCACCGGGGGCAGTTCTGAGCCCCTCAGATAAGAGACACACTGAGGGGCTGGAGCGTGGGCAGGGAAGGGAACGGAGCTGGGAAGGGGCTGGAGCGTGGGCAGGGAAGGGAACGGAGCTGGGAAGGGGCCGGAGCGTGTGCAGGGAAGGGAACGGAGCTGGGAAGGGGCCGGAGCGTGGGCAGGGAAGGGAACGGAGCTGGGAAGGGGCCGGAGCAGCAGGAGCGGCTGAGGGAGCTGGGGGGGCTCAGCCTGGAGAAAAGGAGGCTCAGGGGGGACTCTCTCACTTCTTGGGTGGGGATCGGGCTGTGCTCCCAGGGAACAAGGGACAGGACAAGAGGGAACGGCCTCCAGCTGTGCCAGGGGAGGGTCAGGTTGGATATCAGGAAAAATCTCTCCCCAGAAGGCTTATCCATCCCTGGCACAGCTGCCCAGAGCGCTGGTGGAGTCCCCATCCCTGGAGGGATTTGAAAGCCCTGTGGATGTGGCAGTTGGGGACATGGGTCAGTGGTGGCCTTAGCAGCACTGGGGGAACAGTTGGATGCAATGACCTCAGGGGGCTTTTCCCACCTAAACCGTGCCATGAATGTGTGAGGTGGAGGGAAGGCCAGCAGGGCCCGTGCCAGCACGTGCCGTGGTGCGTTATCGCCATTGCTGCCCTCAGATGAATTGCAGACAGCGTTGGTGGAGCAGGACACTTACAGGCCTTTTCCTCTGGTTGCCCTAAGCTTTGAGCTGCAATGAGAACGACGGGGACCACTTGGACAGGGACCAGCAGTACCCCAGCAATCAGAAAACCAAGCGCATGAGGACGTCCTTCAAACACCACCAGCTGCGGACAATGAAGTCGTACTTTGCTATCAACCACAATCCCGATGCCAAGGACTTGAAACAGCTGGCTCAGAAAACTGGCCTCACCAAAAGAGTTCTTCAGGTAAGGACAGCAGCCTCTTATCTTGAGAAGTGATCAAAATATCAATTTTACATTTAAATGCCGTGATTTTGCTGATTTTCAAGCTTTTCTTAGTTGTCCGTACCTTCTGTGGGACTGCAGTTGAGTCCTAGAAAGTACCAGAAGAGTTAATTCTTTTGAGTTTCCCTAAAGCAGATCATTTGGGTTCTAATTTTTAATGAGAGCTGTGAAGGTTTGAGGCCCTGTTTGTTTTCCCAAGATTACTTAATTCAGGTGCATGTTGTAGCTTTCAGTTCGCTGTAAGAAAAAGTGTGTTCCCTGTAAATAGAGACCTCTTAGTTCAGAAATTACTGTCAGTGTTTACCTTTGTAAGAAATTATTCAACAGTTTGAATTTATTTTATCAGGACAGGGAGGGGAGCTTTTCTTTCTTAACTGAAGTGGACATAAATTTAATTTTTCAAAAATTAGTTTTCTATTTATGGTTGATAATTTAGAATGAAAGGAGACTGCATTTGAAATGTTTCTCTACTGTTTCTCTAAAAGCTAGGTTTTAATTCCTTCATGGGTACACACTCCATTTGAGTTATTGTGGGAAGGAAAGAGGGGAATATTAGTTGGTTCAGCTGCATTTTAATTTATAGGTCTGATTCAGGAAGTCGATTTTAATGACCACTTATCCAAGTACCTATACCTAGAGATAAGTTTGGGTGTATAGGAGCCATGACACTCCAAGACCTGTTGCTGAAAGCTTTAAGTGGGTCTTAATTGTAGAAGAAAGGATCTGTGATGTTCCCAGAGGCCGGCAGGGCTGAGGCCCCTCCTGGGGGCTGTGGGCAGCGTGTGAGGGCAGGGCAGGGCAGGGCCGGGCACTAAACTGGGGCAAACTCACCTCCCTGGGGTTCCTGGACCCTGCAGCGTCAGCCCCCAGCAGAGGGAGGAATCCAGGCTCTGTGAGCCCCCCAGTAAAACAGCAATGACAAACTGATCCCTTCTCTGGGCTCCATCCCCAGAGCTGCAGTCTGGGTTGCTTTGTGGTGGAGGAACAGGAGCAGGGCACAGCCCAGCCCCGGTGCAGTGTCCCTCACAGCAGCTGTCCTTCATCCCACACACGGGTGGAGCAATGGACTGCATTTGTCTGTCCTTAGCTCGACCCTTCTCCTTTGTTTTACCCTCACAATTCAGACACTTCACTCTTTCTGTGCGCTCACACCTGAATTACCTGCGAAGTTTCTCAGAGTGTGTTAGGACATGAGATCAGTGTCTAGAAAGTGTCCTTCTCTTGTATCATCTTTCTGTTCCTTCTCCTTGCTCCACAATAACTTTGACTTCCCCCTCTCTCTTCTCTTTTCACCTAATGGATCTTTCCTTCCATCTGTTTTCCCAAGTTATCTTCTCTGCTTCTTCTTTTTCAGAATGCATTTCCTAGTCTCCAAAACTGGACTCCACCCCCATCATGCTTCCATTCCTCTTTGTGTTTCTTCATTGCTTCTGTTTCCATCTTAATCCCGTCACATTTTGCCGTTCTAAGGTGCTTTGTGGTTCTTCTTTTCTTGTGTGTTTCGTAGCAGACCTTTACAATTCCACCAGACCTCAGTTGTCGTTTCGGTATTTGGTGTTTCACTTCTTTTATGTCACAGTTAAGTTCTCCTGTATGTCTGGGCTCCTGTAGCTGCAGAGTGGAGGGAGGTAATAGTTGTTGGTGAGAATCACACCCTGAGGATGATGCTGTGGGAGGCAATTCCAGAAAATGGCTTGGAGTGATCCTTGGTCTGGTATCACTTGAGTTTTCCTGACTGTTATGAGCACTCTCTACTCACGGATGTTTTGCTTGAAAATTAATTTGGGCCATGATAAAGCAAAGTTGTATTTCATATGTTTTGGAACCTTTGTGCCCAGTGGGTTCATCTCTACCTGTGAGAGGCAGTTTTTCAAACACTGAAGTTCACCTCCATGAGTTTCAGAGTTGCTCTTTGCTGGGGAAAACTCACCATGATCACCAAGACAGTGCCACTTGTTCATTCTTTTGAGCCAGAGAGGCTTTATGTACAATATTCACCCCCTTTGAGTGTGCAGTCACTAATTACAGCAGAGTAATCACAGTGTGTGCAGTGAGTGAGCACAGTCTGCTTTGAGGGGACATATCCTCTAGATTTTGTGTCTCCACTTACCAGGCAGTGAAATTCAGGGAACAGGAATGTCTCCAGGTACTGTGGGAATGAGCAAAATTGCGTTTAAAAAGTTGTTTCTAGCAGAGGCTGCTCACGGAGCTAATATGTAACAGAGGCGGCAGTGGAGGTGTTACAAACCAGAAAATAAAGTCATCTGAGGTGATGATCTCATTCACTGCAGCGGCCAATTCCCTTACAGCAGTTTGTGGGCCTGTTTTCAATACTTCCCTATCAAATGGAGATGTTATTTTGTTCCTGTTTGACTTGGTGGAGACAAAGAATTGGCTGCACAGATGGCTGAGGAGACAGTGCGGTATTTTGCCCTCAGTAAATGCGCTTGTGCCCAAGCGGTGAGTGCCCAGCTCCAGGCCCAACCCTGCTCACCCAAGTGTGGGAGCAGCAGTGCTGGGGCTTTGCAGCTGCCTTTGTCTTCCAGGGGGAGTTTGGGTCCCTATTTTCCCGTTTGATTTGAAACAGCTCAGCCTTGTACTGATACAGTTGGACAGAAAACCACGAAATACTTCCCAGTGACTTCGTTTATTCCTCAGTCCCGAAGAGCAGATTCCTAATTGTGCAATTGGTGTGAGATAGGTCCTTCTGGAAGGATTCTTTCAGTTCAGTGTTTGGGTTGTTCTGTCTGTAATGCCCTCCCAGGTGCAGGGCCCTGCACTGCTGTGTCCAGCTGGAATAAAGGCTCAGGGCAGCAGGAGCAGCCCCACAACCCAGGGAATAAGTGTTTCCATCTTTCACCATTCTCTAACATGAAATCTCTGCTGAATGGTGTCATATCTTCAGCACATAGCAGAATGTCAATATGGTGGTAATGATGCTATCCCTTTCTATCGTATGACAAGGTATTTTCAGAATTTAAATTAACAAATAATTAGTTGTATTTTTAGTAAATAATATGGATACTTATTATTAGGCAATTTTGAAGAGCCTTACAGCCGTTAGCTGATTAACCCTGACAATATCTCAGTGAGGAAGGGAGTGAAAGCAGTCATATAATCTCTATATTGGAATAACACTTACAAGATCAGTGGTGTGTTCTGTGTCTAGCAGGAATTACCACAATTAAAGAGACAGTGGCCCCTGTCTCATGTGGGGCTGCTGAAGGCTGGTCATTGGTAAGGGCAGCTGAGCTCCGGTTCTTGTGTTTAATGGGAGATGAGGGGAACACAAACACCGAGTATCTTGGCCAGTTTACACACTGCATGTGTCCAGTTACAAACACAAAAGGTACCACAGAGCCTGTGGGCCCTGCTGAGGCTGAGGAGCAGTTGGACATTTAGGAACAGTGTAAATACACAAAATAGTTCTGGTGCCTTCGACCGCTTTACATGCTTTACACAAGACGATTGCTTTGTGAATAGGAATGAAAATGCTGCCCCTATTTGGCACTACTGCACACAAAATAAGGGTATTTTTAGTGAACATAGGTGTGTAATTGCCACAAGGAAGTGCACGAGCCACCAGCCCGGTGGTTTTGCCTGGAGCAGACCCACGGCAGGGCCTTCAGCGCCAGGGCCCGGCCCCTGTGCAGGGCTGTGTCCTCAGGAGCCCCCACACTGTGTCCCCAGGAGCCCCCACACTGTGTCCCCAGGAGCCCCCACACTCACACTCCCTGTGCAGGACACAGAGGAGGAGCCCCGTGGAGGGAGCCCAGTGGAGATCCCGCCCAGCTGTGCAGATCCTCACCCAGCCCGGCCCGTCTCCGAGGGGTGCAGAGGTGAGGAGGTCCCTGGCATTTGGGATGGAAAGGAGCAGTGCCACCCCCAGAGCAGGTCAGTGTGAGGACAGTGGGATCAGCACCGAGGCCATGGCAAAGGACGTAACAGCGACAGAGGCCCGGGATAAATCAGCGCAGTGACATTGCACCCGGTTTGTAGCAGGAACATCACTTGGTGTCAACAAATGCCATGTGGAACACAGGGTAGTTAATGACACTTTCAGATTTAGTCCCAGTCCTATGCTGTGCCTTGGTTTCAGCAAGTGTCACAGTTTTGTTTTATCTGTTTTCAAAAAGGTCAGAAATATTTTCTCTCTAAGAACTCCTGCAGACAGTGGAAAGCATTATTGGACCTAAACACTGGAGCTTAACTGAGAAAGATGAAGTCGTAGCTTTGTCCTTCCCTCAGATAATAATCAAAGAATACAAGAAGTAGAAAGCTTGGAAAAAAATCTCTGTGTGGATGTAATTCCTACTGTAATGACAGTTTCTGATGCAATGTGGGTCTTTGATACCCTTCGAGCCTCTTTTCCCGACATTATTCCAGTACTGAAAACATTTGAGAAGGTAAACCAGCCCAGGCGAAGGGAGCTGAAGCATTTGAGAAAGAAGAGTAAGAGAAGAGTGAGGAAGAGGGCCAGTCCTCTTAGAAAAGGGGGTGACAGCAGACACTGAGGCATGAGGAAGCTCCAGGGAGAGCAGGAGGGCAGAGCCATGGGATGAGCCAGCGGTGCTTACGGTGGGAGATGGACGTGAGATGCGAGGGGGCCCAAGCTCGTGGTTTGATCCCCATCAGGTGCTTGTTGTCTCCTCACCCAGCCAGATGGGACTGAGGGCCACAGGGCTCCTGCAGGCTGCCACGTTTCTAAACATCGCTTTACACAGCCAGCACAGACTCCCTCCCTCCGTGCTCAGTCCCTCCTGCCCCAGGCAGGCAGTTTCCAAGGATGGCAGGAGAGGGAAGAAGGAATCCTTTGCAGGCAGAGGCCGCTTCTCATGACCAGGGCTACTCTTCTAACATGTTACCAGTAAAAACATCTTTCCCAATTCCAGCACTGATGAATTTGTGAATGTGCTTTTGCTTTTCGGAACTCTGCAGCTCTTTAAATGCTACCCTGTTGTATTGAACTGTTCCAGGTTTGGTTTCAAAATGCTCGAGCCAAATTCAGACGGAACCTCTTACGTCAAGAGAACACAGGGGTGGATAAGACTTCAGACTCCACACTGCAAGCAGGGACCCCGTCAGGCCCTGCCTCAGAAATATCCAATGCCTCCATGAGTCCATCCAGCACTCCCACGACTTTAACGGACTTGACTAACCCCACCATGCCTACTGTGACGTCTGTCCTGACATCAGTGCCCGGGAGCCTTGAGGTTCATGAATCTCGAAGTCCTTCACAGACAACTCTTACAAATCTTTTCTGATGACTCTTTCTTAATAATTTCTTTAAAAAAGAAATTATTCTTAGCTGAAATTCCAAGTGTATTTTAATAGAGGCTTTGAGCAACTGACTAACCACAATTAGGATCTCTCCTAAAACAACAGAAGGAAATGTAGTGTTCTGGTATTACGGAGTACGGACTGAGGAATAACTTGGAAGATCTATTGCAACACAACATTTGTGTAACTGTACAGTTTTGTGGACTGAGCAAGGGAAACAGCAATTAATTTAAGTTGGCTAAAGCTTCTGTATTTTCAAAGACTGCCATGTGCCTTATATACTGTTTTATCTACATTCTTTGGATTCCATGTCCACTTCTCTCTTTTTCTCTCTGTATATTTATGACCAGGGCAAAAATGTTAAAGAGTTTGTTACTTTGGGTAGTCCTAAGCCTTTCATTGGTTGCTTTGTTGTTTTAGAATTTTAAGGTCGAAGTCTGTTCGAATACCAGAATTTGTAAAATCTAATCAGTAATAAAACCACTTATGGAAACTACTTGGTAATGGCTGCAGTTACATTTAACATTAGTGTCACAGTCGAGGTAGGCTGAGTGAGTGTAAAAAGGTTAGAAAACTGCACTTCAAACACAGTGTCTGCCTAGGAAAAACCCTAAATATGATGTACACATTCCTCCCATTCCTGAAGTGTATATGGCGAGAACTCCAGCTTGTGCAACAGTCTAGGTATCCTCATTGTAGAGAAATAAATGTTAGATGCAGGTAGAAGTTATCAGATAATGTTAAAATTCAAACAGAAAGCTGTCCTTGATTTTGCTGTGTGGAACAAGCCTGACTTGTGTCAGTGTGGGGAAGCAGCGTGGGGTTTGTCCCGTGTCTCCCCAGCGGGTGAACCCCTGCCCACCCCGCCCGTGGGCACTGCAAATGCTTTCCCTGGGGAAAGGGCAGAAGTATTTCAGGCCAATTTACAACGTTGGTGGGCAAAGTCGAGGCAAAATTATGTTCTGTGAAGTCACTGCCTTACATTTTTTGTAATGCTTTGAAGGAATAAAAAAGCCAAGGAAGAACATTGACACTGATAAAAGTGGTTATTCCTTTAATCATTATGGACCTTTCAGTACGACTGAATTCCTTCTCCCCAAAAATCTCTGCAGAGTATAACTCATATTTTGAGTTTTTCCCCTCTTGTTTCTGAAGATGCTTTTCTGTAATTAAAGAAATACCTCAGCAAAGTTAAACGTGTATAAGAACGAGTCTACACTGCGCTGTTTGCCCAGTAGGTTTGGAGGTTTGGAGTGGTACATAAGAGTCAGATGGCTGTTCCTTTTCAAACCTGTTCCAATCAGTTATTTCAGTCAGATGCTGGGTTGTGTGTGGCCAGCTCTCTAAAACTAATCCCTCGTTCCCATTGGATCAGAATTACTGAAAGATTATTCCGAATAAACATCAAGGGGGGTGCCAAGATTCGTGTTCTTTGCCCTTCTCGGGGCATTGAAGATGATTTTGCAGGCTGGACTCTCTGCTAACAATGTTTTTGGTTTTAAAAGCGCCACATTTATTCCACTTTCTGAGCTGAAAATTTGCCATTCTTGTGCAAGCCAAATTCCTGTCGAGATCAGGGAGAGATTTCAGAGCATAAGGACTGTGGGATAGAATCGCTGACATAATTAGGTCATTTATTAACCTTTTTTACACTTCAGCTTAAAAAACCCCACAGGTGAGCTATGGGAAAAGCAAGGTAGTCCTCAAAAGATGAAAACTAGCTGAGATCTGTGAGAGGGATTAAGGTCTGGTCACCAAACCCAAGGGGCTGGCAGAGCCCTTTGAGTTTGTGCACAGGGATGAGACACTGAAAACGATAATTTGGGCTGAATTAATAACTGTTACAGGTTTGTCCAGGACATTTTCCCTCGTAATCCAAGTGTCTAACAAGGACATTGTGCCGGTTGCTGGACGGTAACAGAGCACAGATCTGCCTTTCAAAGCTGTTCTGGCACGGAGATTCTGCTCTTTGTAACGTTTTGTTCATTGTCACTCACCTTGGAGGTTGTATTTTTCTTTTTACGTGCTTAGCTGGATCTTTTCTTGATTTAAAAGGCAATTTTGGTCCGCTGTTAAATGGTTACAGCCCGTAATTAAACCCCTGTGTATTAACCTGTAAACAGTTTGACAAAGCTGACTCCTGAATTCTGAGGTGTGACGGCAAATGTAGCGGAAAACAACTCCAGTGGTTCTTTCCAACTGCAGTGCTGTTGTTTGTGGTCCTGTGTTCAGCTGCCTGACTCCACCTGGATGGAAGTTCCTTTCAGATCAGTTCTCACCATTGCCTTTTCAGACACCTGGCACCCATGGAGGGGAATATTCTTGTGTTTATCTTACCTGCAACCTATACGAGACAATTAGAGAAATTGTCTGGTTTAATCAAATCAGGGATTTTGCATATAAATAAGAGACAATATTCTATGTAGGGTCTTTATGTAGGTGCATTAGGATTCACTCTGGCTCCGATGGCCTATGTTGTCCCCATGATTGTTTCAATCCTGTGGTATTGTTTGGTTGTTTAGAGCTTGTTGGTTTTGAATGCTGTACATTTTTTTACTACTGCAATCCTAATGTTTCTTCACATTCTTGTACAGTTCCACATTTGATGTATTAGTCTGGAATTCTGTTAAAAACATGAACAAAAATGGAAATGATATTTCTTTGGAAGTGTATTTTTACTGTATATCTAATTTGAACTAGTTGAACATACTTCTTTACATTTTGCATGATAGGTGTGTAGTTCATTTTTTAAATATGAAAGAGGCTTAAGAGTAACTTAGAACGAGAATATAATGAAACTATACAAATATGGAAATACATACAATGATTTGCTACTTTTTGACTCAAGAAACTTTTTGAAATACATTTTACCTAGTTTATTTAAGATAATGCAGATATTTTGTCTTTGAGTTCATACATAACACAGAATATGAAAGGGGATTACACACTAGAAAGACTTTCAAGTCACCTTGGCAGCCACCACCACACTGGATTATTCTTGTCGAAGAGAGAGAAAGGACATTTGAATTTAAGAACACTGAATAAACATATTTTGATCTACAACAGAGAGGGATGGGATTGCTGCAAGTGATTTGTAACCACAGCTTAAAATTTATTGACACTGTTAATGGCTACATTTCATAACACTTATTTTTTATTCAAATTACCTGAGTTTGGGGAGAGAAGACCAAGGATTTTGATACTAATGAAGAAGCTGAATGAGTGCCCTGGAAGCAAAACTCAGTCTATTACAGATACTATGGATGCAGAAAGGGCCTCCAAGATATTTTGGTTTCCAAACTATCTTTTCCTCCTGTCTGTTAAAAAACCCTACGTAATTAGGCCACTTTCCTAGAGCTGTTTGCTATTTTTTGTCTGTTAGAAGGCAGCTCAGGCACCTCTGAGAACAATCTTCATCTAAAGGAGAAGGAGAAAGAAACAGGAATCAGAATAAGAATGGGGCTCCCACTGGGGTGTGGGGATGGCAGGGACAGCCAGTGCTGGGAGGAGTGCTGGGGGTACCTGCTTGTGCTCCTCACTTGGTAGTGCTTGGAAGGAGGGATTTTAAATGGAAGTAGGTGAATTATGGGGGGTTTGTTTCTAACTTCAGCAAGCCAGAGCTAATGACACCACTCTGCTTCTGTTGTTTAAAATGAACTTTGACACAAGTTACCATTAGGAGGGGTCATCACACCAAAGACAGCGTGAGGAGAGAAGCCCAGACTTTTGGAGAAGGACTTTTTCCCCCTTTCCTTGTCTTTCCATCTTTTTGCCCCTGGTTCTCCTACATCCCCTTGCTGCCCCAGCTCATGTCCCCGCTGGTGGGGAGCTCCCAGTCCCCAGTTGGGGCTGAGATGAGCCTGGAGCTGGCCCAGGTTTGTCTGGGAACGGCCCTGCAGCAGGAGCAGCCCCCCAGCAGTTCCTGCCAGCACAGGAGCTGTGTGTGCTGGGGAGGGAGAGCCAGCCCCCCCAGTGATTCCCACCGACACAGCGAGAGCTGCCAGGCCCCGCAGACAGAAATGCACATTGCTGATATTTCTGGTGTGCTGTGCTCTGCCCCCAGCCCTCCCCAGCAATTCAACACGTGCTGCTCCCACCACTCCACCAGTAAAGCCAGGGCTGAGCTGGACAGGGGCCATGAGTGGCGTTTATCAGTTTGACAATTCCTTTAATCAAGGACCAGATAAAAAGGTACGCTGGGCACGTAATGGGCTTCTGATCAGATTAGGATGATGCTGGCAGCTCTTTCTGGCCTAACAACTGATTTCTGTAGCAGCTAAGGTCAGTAAATATTTTGGGTGTTTTGTTTAGAGCAAGGCACAGTACTTAAAATATGCAACCTGCTGTCAGTAAATTCAGACCCTGCAGTATCACTAATGTACTAATGCAGAACACTGTGCAAATTATCATTATTTCCAGAGAATGCCACTGCTGTGGAAGTTCTTCTTTTGATAAAAAAAGTCCCCGTGAAGGCACGGCTCTGCCTATGTATTTACACAGCTTGTTTACGTGCCTCTGTGTCAATTTATTACATTGTAAAATCCAGCACTTAACAGGAAGTTACATTTTTGCAACAACCTTTACGAAAAAAGAGAAATAATTAAGCTTTTCATTAAAGAGAGAAACCTATTCTATCCCTGCATAGTTCAGCCCAGTAGCTACAGAAAAAAAAGAAAAAGAAATAACAGGCAAACCAAGAGGGACACAAATATTTGAGAAGTGCAGTGTAACTCCATGGTGACCCGGTTTAATTGATAAATCTCAGTGGTGCAGATCCGGGGTCAGCAGTGCTGGGAAGCCACGATGGATCTGCAGCGCTGCAAACACAGAAATAGCCACGGATTTTTGGTGCAGTGACACAAAACTACCCAGGCCGTTCTCCATCCGTGGCACAGGAATTACTGGGAATTTAATGTTCCTTTGTTCCTGCTCAGAAACAGGGAGAAGATCCCATGTTCCTAGAGGAGGGGTTTGATTTTCCAAGGGCACAGGGTGCAGTACAGACAGAGCAGCAATGGCAAGGAGCTCTCAGCCATGGATTCTGGGTGTTCTCAGAGGCCTGTCCAAGACAGCTGGAGGTGATTCCTTCCTTGCACTGAGCTCAGCCCCACATTGTCTCAGTGCTCTGCATGCACAGGTGTGACAGACCGTGCTGCCTGTCCTTGGGGACAGCAGGGAGCAGAGTCCCAGAGGGCTGTTCTGTTCTCCCAGCTCTGCCCTGCTGAGCTCTCGTGGTGAACTGGGGGGTGGCGGGACCCGCAGGGTGGATCAGTGTGGCCAGGCAGTGCCCAGCACCGTGGAGCTCCACCTGAGCTGGCCAGGCCCTCCTGCAGGTTCACAGCAGGGTCTGGCCTAACTGACCCCCAGACAGCGCTGTGGGTTAACCCTGTTAACCCTGGCATGTGGAACTGCAGGCATGGGATCACAGGCACAGGTTTCTCTGGGCACAGCCTCCAGCCCATGGAAACTGCGTGGCACCAGCTCTTCCTTCTGCCC